TCCTTGCTTCCTTGCTTCCTTGCTTCCTTGCTTCCTTGCTTCCTTGCTTCCTTGCTTCTTTCCTGCCTGTCCTCCGTTCATATTGTCATTTCTTGGCAGAATCAAAAAACTATCGAACCGCACGCAGAAAATCAGTGCGCACAAATTGTATCGTTCACTTAATGACACGTAGAAGCTAATACAGCCTATTGCATGACTTCACTAATTTGAGAGTCAGATTCAGTCATATGCATTTGGTTAGGTTTTGCCTAGTACGCCTAATCTACGATTACCTCATTTTACCACCCAAAGTGAACAATTCAATATTTACCATATGCATGCGAACCCTTGTAGATTTGTTACTGGAATTGAAGTCCGAAGCGGCTTTTCTTCGTGTTCGTGTCGACAATTGTTCGGAATTGTTTTAGATTCTCCGAGCGTGCGCATAACGCTTGCCATTAGTATTCATGATAACTGCTCTGTTTACCAGTCGATAAAATATTCGATGTCAAAATTGAAAATTTAAACATTTGATCGTGTTTGTGTCGTCATGTACTCGACACTTGTTCGGGACTTTTCGGAATTTTCCGAGCATGCGCATTGCGCCTGCCATTAGTATTCATGATAACTGGTCTGTTTACCAGTCAATGAAATATTCAATGTCAAAATTGAAAATTAAAACATTTGATCGTGTTTGTGTCGTCATGTACTCGACACTCGTTCGGGATTTTCCGGAATTTTCTGAGCATGCGCATTGCGCTTTCTACTAATATCCATGCACTTAATTGGTTTCTCATTCCATGTGTTAAATGGTCTGTTTACCAATAAACTATTCAATAAAATTAAATCTTCACCGTTAAAAACCCATTGCACTCGGGCCCTTAATCATTTCGTGAAACCAAAAGCTCGCGGCAAAATTGTTTCTTAATGAAAGCGATAATTACTTAATTCCAAACAATTATTCTGGAATACATATTCATTGCTTTCTTTGGGTCAGCTCACATTGATTCACGTACCCCGACGAGAAGGACACTCTCTTATATCAGCCGTTAACGAAATTCTTTTTCTGGCACTGAAAATGGCGAGGACTGCATCCACAATTCTTTTTTTGCTGTGTTTGGTGCTGATTACTGGTAAGTTCACGATGTCTGCAAAAATACACAACTTAGTCGAGATAAAAAAATTTTCCCCCCAGTAACTGAAGTTTTCAATTTTCGAAAAGTTAAAAAAAAATTAAAGTAATTTTTGTGCCAGTAAGAAATTGGTAAGTTTTTAAAATGCAATTTTAAATATCTTTTGTAAGAATATTTTTAGCATCTGCACAGTTTTTTAAATAAGATTTGTAATACTATTTGTTTAAGCAGGGAGGTGTTTTGAGACAAGATTTTATCTCGGAAGGAACCGTTGCTTAGCACGACTTTAACGTYCGAACGTTTTGTGCTCTTTTCTGTGGTATATTGTATGAGAGCTTTTGTTCTCAAGTCTTAGTTTGATTTAAAGAAAGCTAGAGATTAAAAAAATATGTATGAAAGAAATCCTGGGTACGTCTTTGGGAAAACAATTGGATTTGCACTGTAACTCCCCATAGTAAGCCGTCATATTTGACTTTCCCAGGGTATACGATGGCCAGGCAAGAACACTGCAACCTTCCCTTGGAAAAGGGAAAGTGTGGAGGACGGTTCGAGAGATTTTACTACAACAGCCACAAAGGAAAATGTGAGAGCTTCTTTTATGGTGGCTGTAGTGGGAACGACAATAACTTTGAAAATGAAGAGGAATGTGATAAAGCTTGCGGCGCATGAAGGTATGATGTATGATGCTCATGGGATAGACACAAGTTGCTTATTAATGCAGAATTAACGTTATAAAGGACATAAAGGCATTTATAGAACCCTGAAACAACCTCTGGGCTGATCTAAGTCAGGGAATGGCTAACACACAGATAGTACCCTGAAACAACCTCTGGGCTGATCTTAGTCAGGGCATGGCTAACTCACAGATCAAACCCTTAAACAACCACTGGGCTGATCTAAGTCAGGGCATGGCTAACACACAGATTGAACCCTGAAACAACCTCTGGGCTGATAAGTCAGGGCGCGGCTAACCCACAGAACGAAGAATTTAGCAGGGAGGGAGGAAAACTGGAGAACCTGGATAAAAACCCGCGAATTAGGAAAGAGACCAAATTCTACTCACYTGTAATGCCGAGTATAGGAATACGCCTTTTTATTATTTGATAATAGATTTACGGTGTTCAACCTATTTTAGGTTTGGAAGGAAGAATCATGAGAGAAAGAGAGAAAGAAAGAAAGA